TTGGGTGGGTTTTAGACTAGGAAGGGTAAGGATTTTGCGGAGGGGCGCGGGGGTTTGAGGCGCGTGGGATTGGGCCTGAGAGTTTGGGGTTTAGAGGTTTTTGAGCTGTAAGGTGTTTCAAGGTGGAGGGTCTTATTCTACTCGTTTTTTGTTGGTTTGTGGTTGGATGTTTAAGGGTGTTTGCAGTTCGGGGTGTGCAGTTAGTTTTTGGACGGTGTGAGTCCCTTGAGAGTTTGTGCATGAGAGAACACTTGAGGGTTTAGGGTATCAGGTTTAAGGGTTGGGGTTTTGTGGCAGGGGATTTCGGATTGCGGTTTTGGGGTTCACTAGTCTTTTCGACACACGCGTTCGGGATTTATATATAGGGTTTCGGATCATTACAATAAGGGTTTGTATCGGACTACGAGTAACATTCTGAAGGTCACACCCCTGTCAATGCAAAGCAGAACTCCACTCATGCAGGAACCACGACATTAAAGTGGAATTCTTTTTTCAGCCGCTGCACGAATCGACCCGAAAGCATTGAAGCCCTGAACTAAACTCAGAGTCACCAAGAGATTAATGCAGAGAGCACTTGCTACGCCCTTCGTACCAGCATGCCAGGCGCCGTCTTTGGGCTGCGACTGCTTCTTGCTCGAATAAGGGTTTAGGGTTTCTGAGCAGAGCTTCGAGTAGGGGCTCTCTGAGATGAAACTATTGAATCGTGGCTTCTACGTCAGCTTTATGCTGAAAGTTTTAACGTTTGATTCCTTGACGCTGTTTGGGCATGGGGATGTACGGGGGAAGCAGGCAATACGGGCCCCAGAAGCACCTCAATGCAAGCATCCTCCCTTGTAAAAGGGCCGGGCAGAAGGGTATTCTCATGTTTAGGCGCTCTTTCCGGCCGCCAACACTAACACCGAGGATCTTTCTGTACGTCCCGGCAGCCACCGCTTGGTTGGGTTTGGCAGTGGCCTGAGTTCCCTTTGTGTGATGCTGCACGGTTCAGGGTTTGGAGCTACACGCCGGTTTGCTCTATAGCCTTTCAGGGTTTTACACAGATGCGGACCCCCGCCCCCACAACCCCCAAGAACACTCCCTGAGGGGGCTTTGTTGCGAGTACCTTGAATTGAAAGGGTCCTGGTAGGGACTAGGGGTTTCGGCTTTCGGGGAACCGAAGAAATGAGTATATAAAGAATGCCGTGTCTTAAACCCATGCAACACCGAGCTTTCCTACATGCACAGATGTTGCCTGAAGAAACCGTCAAAGTCAGTGTGAAGGCCATACGAGGTTGAAAGATACGGCTAGCTTAGAGCCTTCACTTCGTGAATAGCCGAAGTATTAGAAGATGCCTGAAACTCTGAACCCTAAATAAGGGTACTTCGTGGATCTACTGACAGGGGTGACTTGAAGTAAATGGGACCACTTGAGAGGATCCATCACACACCAAAACCCCCAACCACACGGCCTGAACCCTAGACCGCAAACGCCGAAGATCCCACAACCCCGATGCAACCCAAAGCCCGTAAGCATTCACACTGTCTTGTGATGTCGCAACTGGGAGCTCGTGCAGCCCAAGGTCTAGTATGATCTGCGGTTTGGGAGTGTTGGTTCAGGTTCAAGGTTTAGGCCTAACACTTAAATACCGCCGGGAGTGTCAGAAAGCAAGGGACCCCAACACAAATCCTAAAGAGTAGCATTTGCAAGCCCGAAAACGCCTCACAAGCATTTTCCTTTCTTGTTTAACTGGGTTCTTGTTAAAGAATGTAGTTTAAGTTACCATAATATAATATAGGATCTATAGTAAATACATGTAAGTACTATGGCTGGCTTTTGATAGTAGCTTAAATTACATCCCTTAACAAGAACAAAAAAACCCTCAACCCTAAACACCCAGTCAAGGTCTCCGGCGTGACTTTGGATTTCCGCACGCCGGAGGAAGCGAAGCTGGAAGAGCAGGAGGTGGGGACTGGACTTGGGGCTGGTGGAGGGGCGGGGCTACACGTTTCTGGTGTCGGGGGCTCAGGGTTGAAAGTTGAAATTTTATAGGTTTTGGGATGTATGTTTTACGTCTGTAGGGCTGTAGGGTTTCTGGGGGTTTAGGGTCACGGGTGTCAGTAATTATCACGGCCAGTTTACTTACGGTTTAAACACCGTAAACTGGACGAAATCGGCTTGCGGCTCAATGCTCTATACATCTTAGTTAGAAGCCCCGCAAGCCATGCCTCCCGAAAACACTTCTATGACCAAGCCGCAAGGCAATACAGCTCAAGCCTACCCTTCCGGAGCCCTCAACCCTCTACTTCCTAACCCCCATCGCCTAGTTTCCAGAGCCAAAACCCCGAAACTCTGAAGCCCTGTACTTGCCAAGCTGGTGCAAAATCCGAATACTTCCTCACAGCCCGATTATGAAATATTTTCAATAATTCAATAACCTCAAAAAGCTTTAAACTCTCTACGCCCTAAACCTTAAACCCCGTAACCCTGGACCTCTAACGCCGTGCGCTTCAGAAGGCCCAGCGGGTCGAACGCTTCTTCGACGTGGACCATCTGCCCGAGGCCTTCTCGGGGGACCCCGGCCCTCTATAGAAAGGTCGTATAAAGCCTTTTTATAAACCCTATAAACCCTCAACCCATAGCTAAGGCGTGATTTAAGGTTTCTTTTGGAGGGGAGCTTGGGGCTTCCGGGGTTTTGAGGGGGCAGGGGCTTCATGGTCTGTGAGGGTTTAGGCTAGAAGGCTATAGGGTTCAGCATTTCCCGACCCTACTCTGAGGCCTTTAAGGGCTTTCAAAAGAGATCGGCTTTTTGGTTGCTTGCTTGGGGTTTCTGCTTCGGATCGCCAGAGGATTAAACTGCCAAGCCCCAAGGGCCTGAGGCCCACAGTTTCGGCACCCTGAGGTAGGAGACCGAGGAAGAGGATTTTGACAGGAGTTCAGAACCTCTGCAAGGTTTGGTAGGATCTGAGCCTGGGGGCATTAAGTACTGGAATCTTGCTTTGGGGCATGATCGTCCAGGTAATGTATGCCTCTGAATCCGGAACTGGCAGCTCGTAACTTTCGAGTTTGGGGGTCTAGGACAGTTTAGACATGCCGCCCGAGACCCAAAGCCCCAAATCCTAATGGCCAAGAAACGTTTAGGATTTAGGGTTTCAGGGTGGGGAAGGGTTTCGGGAAAAGAGCCGAGCACGTAAGAGCCTCTATCAATCCTGAAGCAAACTCCCAAACCCCACTCCCACTTGAACGACGTCTTGCACGCAATGAGGCTTCAACTGTAGGTTTAAGGTTGGGAGTTTGGTGTGTATGTGTGTGCTGTCATCATCATGCACTATGCTACCAATCATTATTGGCTTTCTTCCACGTCACTGAGCCTTTTTGTGGAATGACTCTGCTGTACTGCTCGAACATATTTACTGTTATTTACATTCTGATATGGCTTTCTACAACTAATTTTGCCTTCCACTACTACCAAGCCTGAGGGTGCCGCAATAATGCTCTGTTCCAGCCAGAAGTCGCTGTTGTAATTAGAGCCCTGAGCCCCAAAATCCACCTGAAACCTAGCAGGATGACTACCTGCGGGAGTGGTCCTGCAAAGAGCAGGCTGCGACCTGAAGATGTCTTGGGGGTGTCATGGGCCTGAGGGGCTTGGTTAGGGTCTCGGGTTTTTGTCAGGCATTTTATGATTTTTCAATGGGGGAGTAAAGAATATAGAGGGTTTTCGATGCTGGTGGGTTTTTGGGGGAGGCCCAACAAGCTCCTCCACCATCTCCTTGGCCGCGAATGCGCAGGTTCGAACATGACGCGCTTCGGCGATGCCTTGCGCTGCAAAAGCTTAGGTCCGAACATGACGTCATCATCCGCCCGCGCCTACCCCCCCCCCCCCCCCCCCCAACCCACCGCTACGAAAGAAATCCTTGCCCAAGCTCCTCAAACTTTTCCGGCGCCGTAGGGGAGCCGTCATCCTTAATGCTCTGTAAACCCTAAACCTAGAACCTAAACCCTTAGAGGCGTACGCTCCTCGAAGCTAGCCTGTCACATTTTGGTTCCCAGCTGTGGTGATTGTTTTTGTGGTTCTGAGCCTGAGGTCCTGCACACTTCCTCCTCCTACTAGGAATTCCGGACGCGAATAGCCGAGGGAAAAGAGGGTTCGAATTCCTGAGAGGCATGAACGCCCTTTGAGAGACTTCCTGGCAGCTTCAGGCGCTAACGGGCATCCTCGAGAAGTTGATGCGGCTGGGCCCTCGCAGTGTGCCCCATGGGGGCTTTAGGATTTGGGGGGTTTAGGGTTTAGGTTTCGGGGGTTCGTTTTAATGCAATAGTTGGGCTTTTTGCTTTTGGGTTTGTCGTTTTTTTGCCTGAGGGGTCGTTTGAGTTTAGGGCTGAAGCGGTTCAGGGCTCTTGAGAATTTGGGAGTGCGGCTTTGGCTTCGGCCTCTGCTTAATGGGGCCTGGAGGTCTTAAGTACGCCACGCAGTCTTGGGACCCCAGGTCCGGCAGGCAGCTGCTCAAATTTTTCTGCCAGCTCCTAACATAGGCCCCTAAAGCTTAGACCCTAAGCCCTAATGCCCAGGTCCTGGTAGAGCCCTAACCCGCAACCCTGCATTCAAAACCCGCAGCCGCATGATCTGTACAGTAGCCGTGGCAATCATCTCATCGAAACCCTCTACGGGGGCTTGTAGTCACCCTTGTTAGTATCCCTATAGAACAGCAACTCTACGAGAACCTTCGGGAGCCACTTTCGCACTGAGGTCCAGGCCTAAAGGCCTGGTAAGAACCCTAAAGCACCCTAGACAACTTGATAAGACCGATAGACCAGTCGAAAACCCTGCACCCCCCCCCCCCTGCAAAGGTCTTCCCACTTGTGGCAGTCTTCCGACTAGAGCAGACCTGAGGCCTGAAGGACTCGAAGCATCCAGCAATCAAAGATCTCACTGCAGAATGGGTTGATGCCCGCTCAACTGCCATCCTTGAAGAAAGGAACTTCATGCCTGGCACGCTGCTGCACAAGTGAGCCGTCGAAGCTTGTGCAGGATCAGCTGTAGCAGGTTCGTCGAGGTGAAGAATGTGCAGCATATTTGTCGCAGAGGGTCTGCTGAAGAAGGTGGTGACAGCAGTGCCAAGTTTATCGGATGACCCATGAAGCCCATGTTTAGAGCTTTCACACAGACCCTTTTTAGAAGATGAGTAGCTCACTAAGTCGGGGGCCCTTGATAGGTCACCAAAATACTGCCGCACCCTTTTAAACAGAGGACTCCAAAAGAGACCCTAACTTAGAGAACTACCCACATATTATACCCTTATAGAAACCCTAAAGAAACCCCTTATAGATCCCTGTAAGGAGCCCTGGCACTGAGGTCCAGGACGGTTCAGGATGCGCTCAGCCCGGCTTTTGCCAGATCCGAGATGAGCCAAGGCCGGGTGTTATGGGGCTTTAGGTTTGGGATGTTGGGTTTCGGGTTATTTAGCGGGCTTTTGGCGGCTCAGGTTTGGGTCTTTTTGGGGTGTCTTCGTTCGGATTTCGGATTTGAGGGTCGCTTGTCAGATCGGTTGGGGCGCTGTGGGCTTTAAGAGGGTTTGTTTAGGGCATTTAGGGACCTTGTATCACTGTTGTCTCCAAGCCGGCTGGTCTGGACATGCACCGAACTGTGTCGTTGTTCGCGGTTCTTGTTGGGCAGTTCGGGTTTAAGGATTGTAATTTCGGGTTTAGGTTCAAGGCTTAGGGCAGTTTTAAGGGTTTTGGGCTTACGGTTAAGGGCTGTGTTGAAAGCAGCCAGTGAAGGTTTAGGTTTTGGGAATCCCGGCTGTCGGTGTTGGTTCGGGATTTGCAGTTTGGGGGTCGGCTGGGGGCCTAGGCCTAGGGCCTATAGGGTTTAGGTTTGGCGTCCTCGTTTCTAATCTGTACGTAGCGTTTCGGGATGTGGACCCTAACCGCAAGAGCTTTGGCCTGCAGGTCACTTTATTCCCGGCGCCTCTGCAGCAGAGGCCCGACTTCTAAATTCCGATAGTCGCTATGTAAACACACCGAAAGATCACAGCCCCCAACCCCAAACCCTTAACCACGCCAAAACGATTTGGCATCTGGGATGGTTACTTTTGCTGGGGGGGGAGAGAGATCATTTCAGAACCCCCGATGATCAAAGATTGGGAGCAGCGGAACAGGAAACTCTTTGCAGTGGGAGTGAGAATATCAATGTAAGAGCGTACAAAATTGCCAATGCCGATACTATTCCTTAGCCTTCGGGTTCCTTAGTATAACCATGCTATAGTATTTCGCAAAAGCCCATCTAATTATTAAGGCACCTACATGCATCACCTTCTTTTGAGCAAGGTACCCTAGACCCAGGCTCTGGAACACTATGCCCTTTCTGATCATGCCCCTAAACTCTGAACCCTTAACTGCCCACAAAAAAACCCCGAAACCTTGAAACTGTTCTTGGGCCAAACCTCAAATCCAAGCCGCGACGTCTCAACTCTTGGGTTCTGACTCTGCAGCTCAACCCCGAAGCGTCAAGCTCAGATCCCGGGTCCCAAAGTTTGGGGTGTTTGGGGCTTTAGATTTCGGCTTTAGGGTTTAGGTTCTTTTTTGTCGGATGAGTGCTTCCCAGTTCGGGCCGACATTCGCCTTCCCCTAAGGCCAAGCCCCAAAACTCAGCCCCATGTCCCTGAGCCCCGCAGCAGGGGGAAAACAACGAGGACGTTCCGACCTGAGTTTCTTCTGACGGCTCAAGATCGTCGCAAGAAAGAGGACAAGGTCCGAGTAGCGAGGCCAATCTCAAGATCGGGCTTGAGTTGGTTTGGGGTTTGGGGCTCTAAATATAAGAGGTGTGACTTAGATGAGTGAAACTGAACCCCTACTAGTCCCTGTATAACTGTATAACTACAATACCTACAACCCTACATAGTTGGGGTTGCGGATGCAGCGCAGTTTTATGGGATGCTAGTTAGATGGCATCCTGAACCCGGAAGCCTACCGAAAGCGTCCT